GAGGGCCCGTGCAGAGGGGTGGCTGGGCGGAGGGCACCGACCTGCTGGAGGGTGGCCATGGCCGACGGGAGGGGAGTGCGTGTGCAGAGCAGGAGGGAAGGAGCCAAATGGTCTTTGCTCCTAGAAACACGATGGTTCGTGGCGCAGCTCAGAACTGGACACGGCCGACAAGCTGGAGAGCTGAGTGGCCCAGCAGGGCGCGGGGTCAGACACGCTCTACTGCCCCAGCACAGCCGCAGCCGGGGGTTAAAGGCGCATGGTCATCTTCCCAAGGGAGCGTTTGGGTGTAAACCTGCCAGGATAGGTGCAGGGTCCGTGCGAGGAAGCCACGGAGCTCCGAGGAACGAGGTCAAGGGAGAGCTGGGTCAGCGGAATGAGCGTTCAGGTGCCAGGAAGACTTCGTGTTGTCGAGATTTCTTTCTGGGACTGACCGCAGCCCCGACCGGAGCCCAGCATCTGCAGCGAACCGGAGAGGCCTCAGGCAGCAGCACAGGGGAGGACAGGATCCCAGGACCCGCTTGAAGACGAAGGACGGGCAGCTGGCACTGACCAGTCCCAGACCCAGACCCACACGGTGCAGCCGTAGCTCCTGGCAGAGGCAAGGCACAGGGCAGGGAGGAGGCTTCCGTGCAACACACGCGTGGGAACAGCTGGACCCCACGGGAGACTTAATCCAGATGCAGCCCACACACCCTCCCTCGCAGCCTCCCTGGAGGCCACACCCCCGCCCCCAGGCCGCCCAAAAGCCCCGGCCCTCAACGCAAAGCCCATTCTTAAGCCTCCTGGCTTTGAGCGGAGAAGACCCCGAGCAGCCCTGGGCTGCAAATGGCCTTCGGAGGCGACACCGGGGCATGGGCGGGGAAGGGTCTTAGGCCCGCTGGACTCTGGGGTCCTGCTCTGCCTGGGAGGAGACTTCAGCGGGAGGGAAACAAGCCCAGACCCGGGGAGAGGCTTGCGAGGTGCTGATGGAGGACTTTCCGCGAACACACAGCAGCGTGCGGAGCTCGAGAATAAGAAAACAGGGAACCTGGTTAAAAAGTGGGGAGCAGCAGCTCACCCAGAAGACACGCCGGCCATGGGCGTCCCTGTGGGCCCGCAGTGCGAGCTGGGGACGGCCACCTGCGGGCCGATGGGGCGCGCCTCCTGGCGGCCGTGGCGGCGGGTCCTGAGCCTGCGGGGCGCGGAGCCCCACGCGCATGTGCACCTTTGTTGGTGATTGACCAGAGGTGGACGCCGGGGGGTGGGCTTCAGGTGAGCGGCCAGTCCGGGCTGCGGCAGGCACAGCGACACGGAGATGAGGGGAGGAGCACAGTGAGCGGACGGTCCAGCCCCGAGTCCAGCCCCGAGTCCAGCTCGGGTGTCCCGGGAGAGGCAGGGTGTGAGGGCGCAGAGCCCAGGTGGTGGGCCTCCGGGGCGGCCCTGGTCCTGCGTGTATCCGAGCCCCAGGGTCCAGAGCTGGGAGTGACCCGCTGTGGCCCACGGGCTGGCGATGGCGACGGATGCCGTGGCGGGGGTGGCGGGGAGGCCGGGTGGGCGGGGTTCTGAGTTTTGCTCAGTTTCTTTGTGAAAACGGCACTAAAGCGCCTGCGGGTGAAACCAGCCCAGAAGCCAGGCGAGCGCGCGGGTTTGACAAAATTGTACAATAGCTTTCAAGAGTCGCCCATTTTAAGCGATTGTTCTCAGACGGTTTTCCAGCCACTTCCCTCCCGTGGAAGGTCCCCCCAGCCCGCTTCACGGGGAGGGAGCTAATCGGATGCTTTATTTATGCCCTGCTTTTGCTTGATGACGGCCTGTTTTTTTTAGAACTCCTGAAATAATACAGACAGATTAATTAAGATGACAAGTTGGGTATGAATATTACATTTCCCCTCTAGAAACATGATTTGGACGGGCTGTGATTTGAATTTACTGCATTTTAATCCCTAAAGCACTTCTCCAGCTTCGGGGCGGGGGCTTCTTCAGGGACACGGCTGTGTTTGGGGTGAACTTCTTGCCAGACATGCCGGCCTCGGGGGCTGTGTGGGCCTCGCTGGCCCGGCCCGCCCTGTGGGGGCTCCTGGCTTCCTCGCTGGCCGTCCTCCCTCACAGGACCGGCCCGGGGTGCTCAGCCTCCGTGGCGGGGCTCCCTTTGGGCTCCTGAGGGTCCCCCATGTTTCAGCAAAGTCGCGGGAGGTCGTGGTCCCAAAAGAAGGGGTGTGTGGGGGCTGGGGGCTGCTCTCCCCAGAGGTGGGGTGTGGGCCGGACACAGCTGGAGCTGATCCCGGCGCCCCAGCTCCTGCAGATTCTGCCCCCTTCTTGCTGACCGCCAGGCAGAGGATGGGGGCACGGCTGGATGAGCCGAGGCTCCGGGCCCGTGTGGCTGAGTCTGCTGCTGCCCCCTTGGTGTCCCGTGAGTGCGTGGACCCGGGGATGTCTCTGCGCTCCTAGCGGGGCCTCCCTGCGGTCTCTCCACCGGCTGCTCCCTCTGGCCCCAACCGTTTTGGGGGGAGCAGCGCATCTCCTGCCCCGGAAGGCCAGTCTCCTGGCGTCCACGGGGGTGCGTGCATTCCAAGGCAGCTCACGCGAGCAAGCTGCATCCGGCGGGCCACGCCCGGGCCTGGCCCCGGAGATCCTGCCCCCGAGAGCAGAGCCGGCGAGATCCTGAGGAACAGACGCATCCACGAGCCACAGCCAGCCGTTCAGTAAGACAGAGCAGAGGAGAGACTGAGGCGTGGCCTGGCCTCAGGCGCGGCTCTGGCAGAGGGTCCCCTCACGGGCACCGCTTCCGGGCCGTCCCCCTCGTAGGCTGGCGGGCCTGAGCAGCGGGCAGGGCGGCCGGAGGGCAGGGGGCATCCTCACGGCCTCGAGCAGCCGCACGCAGGGTCGTCTCCCCCGGGGCCTCGGCTTCCCAGACACCCGCCTCTGCCTGCAGACGCATGGAGGAACCTCATCAAGGAAAACAAGCATTTTCAGTTTCCAAATTAGAGAATTTATGGTAATAAATCAAGAGCATCGAGTCTAATAATCATAGAAAAACATGATAATATGATTTAATCTTAAATGCATTTCTAATAAAATATTAGAAAAATTATATTTGAGCTAATATCTAGTTAGCCCGCGGCGCTGCAGATGCCCGGGGAGCGCGGCGTATGCCGGGCTGCGGCTAATTAGCGGCGGGGGCGCCTCCTGGTAATTCAATCACGGCTCCGTCTTGGCAGATAATGGCGGGGTTTGTCCGATGTCCTCTCTGATTTCCCACCGAATGAGGAATCTGATACAATCTTTTGCCGCGTGAACCAAAAATTGAGTTTGATTTAACGGTGGAAATTTCTGGTCCGAGCCCAGGCCTGTGGCCGGCGCTTCCCGACGCGGGCCCGCCCGGCCGCGGTGGCCAGCCAGCCTGGTCCGGGGCGCTGCGGACAGTCTTTCCACGCAGGCTTCGGGCCGTTTTGAAGAACGGGGCCGCGGTCCAGCCTGGGTCCTGGGCCCCGGCGCGGGGGGCGAGGGCGTGCGGGGTCTCGTCTCACCCTGCCCGCCCTGGAGTGCCTGCAGCCCCTGGCGCCACCACGCCGCCCAGGGACACGGACTGCGCGGAGAATGCACTGCCGGGTCGGGCGGGGCCGCGCCGGGCGACGCTGCTCCAGGGCCGGCAGAGGCTGGAGGGAAGCAGCAGCAGACCTGCCGGGCAGAGCCGGCCCTGCTGGCGCGGGCGGTGGCGTCCCCAGCTCGCCGGTGGGGCCGACTTGGGGTCTGTCTCTTGGGGAGCTCTTCGCCCTTGTGTCCGTCGGGGGGTCAGGGCGGGACGGGGTGCAGGGTCTCCCCACCACTCTGCCATGGAGCCCGCCGGGGGCTCAGGCGGCACTGTTTGGGGGCAGCGTTATTGGCTGTTCCCCATTTCTGGGTCTAGAGTTTCCCTCCATGGGGGCAGGTTTTGCAATAAGAACTTTGCTGCCTCTGACACCCCCGAAACAGGACCCCGATGCCATCCCCACCCCCCCGGAACCGTGGGCCTGCACCCCAAGGAGACAAGGGCAGGGGCGGCCCCGGCCCAGGAGGACGCAGCAGCACCGAGGCCCACGCCTGCCCCGGGGACGCTGGGGAGTCGGGGCCGGCCCTGCGCTGCCGCTCGACGCCGCTGGTTGGTTCGCTCCTGTACCCTCCCCGCTGGGCGCCTGTGCTTGGGGTGCAGGCCCGCGGCTCTTGGGGTGTCCTCGCTTGGGGTGCAGGCCCACGGTTCTGGGGGGTGGGGATGGCATCGGGGTCCTGTTTTGGGGGGAGCAGCTGCCTCCCTGCCTGGAGGGGGCCGAGGGCTGAGGCGCCTCCCCCCTGGAGCCTGGGGGAGGGGTCCGCATTGACTAGGGGGGCTCCTGGTCCTGTGGGGGGGTGGGGGAGGTGCCGCACCGGGATCCCCACCACCGCCATGGGGCACCCAGGCCCTCCATTAGCTCTGTCTGTGGCTTGAGTTTCCATGGAAACCCTGTAGTGCAAAACCCAGGCAGGCCCGGAAAGTTTTCAACTATCATTATTTTAAAGAATCTTGCTCCTCCCTCCCTGCCCATCCAGAGAGCTGTTTCCATGGCAACTGGGACAGAAGCGCCAGCTGGAGAGGAAGCCTAGCCGGCCACTTGCCATAGTTGTCTGGGGACGGAGCAGGGCGGGCAGGGGCGGGAGGGCAGCGAGGCCCACTGGGGCAGTGCGTGGGCAGGACGGGCTCAGGGACGAGCGTCCACTCTGACAAGGCCTCGGGGCTGTGCCCACTTACACCTGGGACACCCTGCGTGGACTGGACCTGGGAGCACCAGTCAGAGAAGCATTTATCCTGAGGTCCCTTACGCTGGCCCTGGCTCGTGTTGGCTGCAGGGGAGTGGGCACGAGATGCAGAGGCCCACCTGGGTGCCCAAGCTCCAGGGGGCTGTGCCCCTGGCATCTCCCATGGTGTCCCTCGCCCCCACCCATGTCCCCCTTGTGCAGGTGCGGGTCCTCAGGCGGCCAGGAGCGCCATCCCTGATCCCAGCTGCAGGGAGGCATCAGGAGGGCCCGGGGGCGGGATTTCTGGTGACTGTGCAGGGCCCAGAGGGGCAGCAGGGCACGTCCTCAGGGACGCCCGGGGCTCCCTACTCTCTGGGCTGCGGCAGGCGAGACCCTCCTTTGTGCATCTGGCGCTTGCTTGGTGCCTCCGGGTGCAGAAAGCCCAGCCCAGAGGCTGCTGGCACGTGCGTGAATGTGCGCGGGGTCACGGCTGCGCAGGCGAGTCCAGCCCTGAGATCACCGTGGGTCTAGAACCGGGGAGAAACAGACAACTCAGCACGAGCAGCTGGAGACGCGACACCCCCGACAATGTGCAGAAAACCGGACGACGAGGAGCGAGGCGGAGCGGAGCCCAGCGGAGCGGCCGGGCAGGCAGCCGAGCTCAAACGCGCACCCCGCGGGCGGGTCCTGCCCAGTGTGTCCCGACCACATGGAATAAACCCAGAAACCAGGAAGAGGACAGCATTTTGGAAACGCACAAAGAAGTGCAAATCGAACCCCACGCCTGGACGCAGACGCCGGGGAGAGGAACGCGGGGGCTGAGCTGGCCGCGGTGGCGCGACGGGCTCACGGGGTTGGGCCGCGGCACCTTCGCTGGAAGAACAGCCTCGGAGCAGTGACCGGCTGTGCCTCCAGGGGCTGAGAGCAGCGAGCCCAGGGCGAGCGGACGGAGGATGGAGGTGACCAGACTGGAAATGCATGAAACGCAGGGCGCGAGAGCGGCACGGGACACGAGCAAAGCGCCGTTGCTTTGAGATCGCTGCAGCTGACAACGTCCCGAGAGCGGACGGGGGTGCAGAGAAGAGGAGGCGCGTCGCCAGCCACACAGAAGGGGCCTGCAGGGGAGAGCGTGGGCAGGGAGCCAGGCCACGGGGCGCGGGGCGGGGGGGTGGGGTGGGCGCGGGACAGACACTCCAGGGAGGGACGAGGCAGCAGGGAGGCCCGAGGTGAAGCGCTTCCCCGAGAACAGCCAGAGGCCGCACGCGGGCGAGCAGCCCCGCACTAGTGCGCCGGAGACGCAGTCCAGGAGGGGCACCCTGGTTGTCCACCGCCTCCTGGCGGACCGAGGCCGAGGGGCCGCAGGGGTGGACAGGGCAGGCAGAGCTGGGGAAAGCGGCCTGTGGTGACGCTCAGCCCGGCAGTGCGAGGCGAGTGGGTCACCCACGGCGGACAAGCCTCCTCTGCAGAGGCCAGGTGGCGTGGCCAAGCCACAGCCCGAGGGAGAATGAGGGCGAAAGAGCCTCCCTAAGGTCAGGAGGACAGAGGGACCCCCTTGCAGGACTGGCCAGGGTCAGGCCTGGCCCCCCACCCCCGTGGCGACCTCCTTCTCCGCCCTGTGTGGAGCGGGGTCTCCTACAAACAGAGCCGGGCTGTGCGGAGCGTCCCTGCTCCAGCCTCGGGCCGCTCTGCAGGCGCCGGCCCCAGAGCCTCGCTGGCCACTTCTCTCCGGCCACCTGCCCCAGCCCCTCCCGGGGCCTCTGCCCCTGACCCCATACTCACCGTCCTTCCCAACGTCCGGGGGGCTGCCATGGGAGGCCCCGAGGGGCGACCGGCCGACCAGCCTTGGGTCCAGGAGCTCAGGGTCTCCGGCGCTGACCACACGAAACAAAGCAGGCCAGGACACAGCGAGGCCCTGCCTGGACAGACCCTCAGGGTCCCGAGAGCAGAATGTGCCCCCACGTGGGCCACCGGCTGAGGTGCACAGGGGTGGGGACGCTGGCCCCGCGGAGGCCCCTGAGGGTCGCGAGGTTGGCCCCCGGGCACCATCAGCCGCACTCCCTGGCCCTCAGCCCCACACCCCGCCCTCGGCCCCTTCTGCTGGGGAGGCTCGGTGGGGCAGCTCCAGGACCTCCTCACCCTCCAGGCACCGTGTCTCTCCCGGGCAGCGGGGCTGGCTCCCGCATCCGCCCCGGAGCGCGGCTGGGCTTCCGCCTGAAGGTCGTCCTTCCCCTGCTGCTCTGATGCCGCCAGCTCGCCGGGCCGGCGCCCTGTGCACACAGGATGGCGGGGCCCAAGGTGACCCAGGCCCACTGCCAGGGGCAGGCCTGGGCACCCGCCAGGCCAGGCCGGGGTCCCCGCCTCGGCCAAGATCTCTAGGCTCCCCCATGATGCTGGGGGGCCGGGGATGGACGGCGGGGAGCACGCATCCCCGGCCGGAGGGGGAGCAGTCTCTGCAAGCCGCTCGGCCAGCCGCGGCCCGGGGAGAGCTGGTCCCGCCTGGCACCGGGACAGAAGTGCTTTTCTTCTGGGAATCCATAAATTTTCACTAATCTCCCCAAACATTTCCAGAGTCTGTTTTCTTAAAGCACAAACATATACAGTATGTTCATCACTTAAAATATCATTTCCTCAATGGCTGAAAATGTTCTAGCTGTTTCTCTGGAAGTGTGAACAATTAGAGGAGGCACGTTTCATGCCAGGAATGAGCTCCGTCGGCGATGAGCACAGACACCGGCTGTCGGGGCGATTACATCGGGGGCGCCGTGCCTCCTGCACTCGCCCTGATCCCCATGTGAGGGGGGCAGGGGCGGGGCTGGGGTGGGCCCGACCCCCAGCCCGGCTGTCCTGGAGCGGCTCAGACCCAAACAAGCAGCCGCCCCCGGCTGACCTGCAGCTGTTTTTATTTCTAAGGGCCGCATCGTCTCTCTCGAGGGAGAGGGTGACCGTGGGCGGGCGGGGCTTCCTCCCCCGGCTCCAGCGGGGCTCCGAGTCTCGCGGCCCTGAGAAAACGCTGGCGAGAGCCGGGGCCTGGGGAGTGGACGTGCAGGCGGCAGGGCAGGGCAGGGCAGCCCCCTGCTCAGACATGCTGCCCGACGCTCCTCCCAGGGCCCGTGACGGGCTTTGTTTTCTTTGCCTTAAAGAAACGAAGAAAAATGACACAAACCCCCTTCTCAGGAGAAGAACTTTAAAAAAATTTTTGCAGTAGACGCAGCCATTGTCATCAGCGTCGTGGCGTGAGGGCCAAGAACCCCGAGCCTGGGGGGCGCCAGCCGGGGCCAGTCCTGAGGGTCAGCAGCCTTCAAGTTCAGCGCGCCGGACAGCATCTGGCCAGTGACTCTGGTCCCCTTGACAAAGCCCGACGTGCAGTGTGGCCCCCCGTGGGCAGCCCGGTAGGTCCGTGGCCCGGCACCCCCTGCCCGGTGGCCACTGTCCCTTCTACCTGAGTCTTCCAGGAGAGCGGGCAGGACAGCGGCCAGCGTGGGGCTGCTCTGATCCAAGCACTCGCGATCACCGGCCGAGGGCCTAGAAGGTGCCGGACGTTTCAGTGCCAGGCGGTTCACCCCAAGGGGTGCAAGATGCCCAGCGATCCCTAGAAAATGCAAACATCAGAGAACCCCCAAAGCCTGAGCCACACGGGAAAGCCAGGCATCCACGGTGGGGTTGTTCGAAGCAGCGATAAGCAGTAAATCTTAAAAAGCAGCAAGAGGAGAAAAATAACAGCACATTTCACATCAAAAACTGTGCAGTGGAGCAAAAGCTTTAAAGTGCTTAGAAAGGAAAAACCCGTCACCCTGGGACCCTCCCCGTGAAGCCGTCCTCCAGGGATGCCGGCTGCCGGCGACAGGACACGACACGCAGGGCCGGGGCGCCCGGCGGTCAGGGTGCGGGGGCCTGTGCCTGGCTCCCTGGGGGGCCGGCCCCCGCCTGAGGGATGCTGGAGAGGACACGGTCCATGCGGGGGCTGCGGCTCTGGGACAAGCCCAAAAGGCCCAGCAGACCCGGCCAGTCTCTGCAAGCGTCCAGGCTGCCCGGCCTCTCTGCCCTGGGGCGGGGGGCGCAAAGCAAGCCCCTGCGGGGCCCAGGCCCCATCAGGTGGTGCCATGTGGCCCTCGGCCGGCACCCCACCGCCAGGCCCGGGGAGCGGGGATGGGGCTGGGGCTCGTGGCCGCTGTGGAGGGCCCTTGCTGGGGTGGAGGAAACCTGCTGAGCGTCTGGCCCGGGCGCTGGCCCAAGGGGCGGTGCGACCTGAAGACCCTGAGCGCACCTCATCCCGGGTCCAGACCTCAGAGCCCACCCCGCACGGTGCAAATGGGGGTGTCCATCTCCTCAGTGAGCCCCTCAGAGGACCAGAGAGCAAATCGGACCCTAGGGGGACCTGCACTCAGCCCCGGGGGGCGGCCAGAGGCCCTCCTGGGTGTGTCCAGGGAGCCGCCAGGCGCCGCGGTCGGGGAGGAGCCGGGCTGTGCCGGGGGCCGGGGTGCGGGGCCGGGGAGGCGGGGGGCACGGGTCCTCTCGTCTGCGGGCCCCGTCAAGAGAGGCACAGCCACCTGTGCTGGTGGGGCCGGCGGGCGTGAGCCGCGTGAGAAGCCGCCGGCGCCGCAGCCACAGCCCAGGCCGGCTCAGCCGCCCTCACCTTGCGGTCACCGCGGCGCACAAGGCAGACGCCAGGCCGCGGGGCAATTTAGGTAGGAATGGCTGCCGGTGATTTATGGCTTTAATTAAGAGCTTTTTAAGCTTTAATTAAAAAGGTACACGAGCATTCCGTATTTAAGAAAAATGCCTTTGTGTTTGGGTCAATTGAATAACATAAAACAAAATGAGATACATATTTCTAGTCAGGAGCTCGCAGAGGAGCCGCCCGTGCCGGGAGGCGAACCCCCTGGCTGGGCGGGAGGGACGGTGGGGGGGGCAGGGGGTGAGGGGCCTCCTGCTCCCGAGGGGCTGCTGCTCTGACGTGGGGGCAGCGGGGGGCGAGCGGCCCCACGGACAAGCTGGGGCGCGGCTCTGGAGGGGCAGCAGCCTGAGGCGGCCGGGGCTTTGCTGCGAATCCCCCCAGCCAGGACGGCTCGAGGTCGGTCGCGGCTGCCTCCGCCCAGGGCCGCCCACCCCCGGGCAGCGGCCTGCACCCGGCCGGGGGCCCGAGGACGTGGAGGGCGTCGGCCCGTCCCGCAAGGCCAGGGACACGCTCCTTGCGGGGGTCCCGGCCACACATCAAACACCGAGACACGCGCTGTCGGACGTGTTCATCGCGAGCAGCTGGGAGATGGGGCTGTTTCCAGATCACGCTTGTGATACGTGACAGGAGACAAACACCAACTGTTTGGATCCTTGAGAGAAACATAATGTTTTCCTAGCGGGACGCGTGTTTTCATACATGAAGTACCAACTGCGAAGATCCGACACCTCAGCCCGCAGACGCCGCCCGCGCTGACAGCCGGAGCAGCCAGGCCCGCCCGGGCTCAGACCCCTGGCCACGGGCCAAGCCGAGAGCCCCGTCGGGCCCAGGCACCCAGGGCCGCTGGAGCCGCGGGGAGGAGCCGGGAGACGGGGCGGGCGCGGCCTCCTGCAGCAGTGGGGGCAGGGCTAGGGCGGGGGAGGGGGGGATTAAGTGGTGGGGGTAGGGTCCTGGGGGCTGGGGCAGGCAGGCCAGGGTGTGGGGGGAAGGCCATGGGGTGAGGAGAAGCTGGGGCTTTCTTTGGTGCCCCCCAGCTCTCCTGCTATCAGGAAACCTGGAGCGTCCCCCACAGGCCCAGGAGGCTGCGTGCTCAGAAGCAGCCAGCCCCGGGCTCAGGCAGGGGGACGGCCGGGGACGCGGGCAGCCCGGGCGGGGCGGGCAGGGCTGCGGCTGGACTGGCTCGGCATGGAGGGTGGGGGATCCTCTCTTTCCTCTCCTTTCAGCCCCCCTTGGACGGTTCTCCGGCGAAGAGCCGTGCGCTGGCCTGGAGACCAGGCGCTGCGGGAAAGGGCTTCACAGAGTTGCTGAGAATCATCGCGAACCATCGCGAACCATCGCGAGCGTGGGGACGGGACACCCCCGTTTCCAGCCACCCCCCGGAGCAGCGAAAAAGCCCAGTTTTCAACAACAGAACATCACAAGCCGGGCAAAGAAACAAGCAACGCTGACATCGGTAGGAAAACGCGGGCAGAGGAAGCTGTTTCTGGGCGCGCGGCCCCCACGTCCTGGCTCCCGGAGGAGGTCCCCTGCCTTCGGGCAGGAAGCCTCAGCCGTGCTGGGGGCGGGCAGGGGCGCCGCGTCCACAGACGTGAGCGTCCACAGAGAGCGGGGGATGAGAAGGGCTTTCTAGAGCTGAAGGTGAAATAACAAGAAAGGGGGCGCCGGCCTCCCCCGGCCTCCTCCCGGCCTCCTCGGAGGGCGGTGCCCACGCCAGGCTGGTGTTGCTCAGTGCCCCCGGGCGCGGGAGGGCGGGGAGGCTCAGGCCACTGCTGGGAGGCCTTCCCGGGTGGCCGGGCAGAGGAGGCGGCAGGGGGACAGGCTGGGCCCTGAGGTGGGGGTGGGGGCGAGGGCCTCTTGGCCCCCTCGGGCCAGCCTTTGTGCACGCAGGGCCAGTGCTGTGCCCCACCCCCCCCCCGCCTCTCTGTGTTGCAGGCAGTGGGGGCGGAGACCCCGCCTCGCGTGCTCAGAGCAGGTGTCTGGAGCACCATGCTCCCCCCGCCCCCCTGCCGGACGCGGAGTCTGGGGGCCCAGGTGGCGTGGGCATCTGGGCTTTGGTGGCAACAGCAGGTCTTTCCTGAAGGGGCCAGGCCAGGGGTCGGCCAGAGGGACGCTGGGGCCGAGCCGGTGCCCGCACGAGGGCTCCATGGGGCAGGGGTGGCACTGCACCAACCTTGACCTGACGCTGGACTCCAGCCGGCCAGCGCGGGCTCTGTGAGGCGTGACCAGTCCGGGCAGAAGTGAGCGAGCCAGCCCTGGGTCCCTGCCCTTCCTCGGCGATACCCGTCGGCCATTTCCTCTGCTGGGGCCGCCTGACCGGGAGCTGTGGAGCGCGGGTGCCCCACCCACCGCCTGTCCTTTTAATCAAGCTTCCCTGATGCCTGATTGCTAATCAGGGCCGAGGGGACAGCGCGCCGCAGCTGCCGTCAAGGTGCTTCTGTCTTTGGGAGCGCAGCGCCGTCGGCAGCCTCGTGCGGGTGCTTGTGTGAGACGAGCAGGAAAAACTCCTGCAATAGCGCATCTTCCCACGGGCGGTTTTGAGAAGGAGGATCCATGAGTGGGAGAAAGCAACACCGCTGGGAGCTGGCGTCAGGGTGGGCAGCGGCCTCTTGCATGGATGCCGGCTTCTGGGGAGAGAAAGCAGGTCCAGAGCTGGTTGCCTGGCAGGGGCAGGAGGGGGCTCGGCGCCGCTTCCCAGACCAGGAGGGAGGGGCTGTGAGGCCTGGGGCTGGGCTGGTCCAGGCTTCTCCTTTACTGGAGGAGCAGGTCAGGCCGGGACATGTGGTCTTGGCTCAAACTCACTGACCACCCACAGGGCGGTTGGTGCACAGAGGAGAATGCTGAAGGGGCTTTTCCTTGTCAGCTGGGGTTCCAGCTCCTTGGGCCCCTCTGAGCTGCACTTGTAGTGCCAGGGGGCCTGGGTCCAGCTCGAGCGCTGACCAGCTCCAGCCCTGTGTGTCTGAGGGCGAGTGGCAGAGGGAAGGAGAGAGAGGTTTTCTTTTGTCTTGCTCAGAGTCTGGGACCAGCAGAGCCACGGACAGATCCTGGCACAGTGTTCTGGGGGCCTGTCCCAAGGGCGCCGGCCCTACCTGCCTGCTGCACCCAGCACCGCCTTCAGTGAGGCCCGAACCCCGGGGACCCAGATGGACTGACGCTGGGCTTGAGCCCAGTCCAGGTCCACCCCAGCTGCTAGTCTGTCTGACGACATCCTCTTCCTCCTGCGCCACCTTCCAGGAGTCCCCATGGGGCCACATCCCCTGCCCTTCCTGGGCGCGGCTGAATAGGGCATAGGGTGTAGTGGAGCAGCTCAGGCTGTGGAGCCGGCCCCGGGGGTCTGCAGGGAGCATGGTGAGGGGGCACTACCGCCACAGTTCCAAGTGCTCCTGCCCCGACTCTGCTTCCAGGTATGCCCCAGGTGTGCTGCCAGGTGTGCCTCCAGGTGTGCCCCGGGTGTGCCCCAGGTGTGTCCCAGGTGCCTGGTGCAGGTAGGAGTGGGCCCTTCCTCCTGGAGGCTGTGTTCCAACAGGCAAACCCCCATAAGCTGGGCCCAGCCTGACCCTCCGAGTCCACCCTCCTGCCGTCCTACCTCCAGGCGGGGGCCTGGGGAGGAATACGGCCCCTGGGCCCCTCTCCCCTGTCTCGGGTCCCCCACCCTGTGGGAGCTCCTGTGGCTGACCCGGCACCGAGAGCCTGGCAGGAGCCGAGCCAGCGCAGCAGGGGCAGGGCACGGGCTGCCCCTGGCAGGGGCCGTGACGGGCGCGGCCCTGGGGAGCGCTGCTGTGCGGCCAGGTTCCAGGTGGGGAGGCAGCGGGAGGCCGGGCAGAGGGGACGGGCGCCGGGTCTAGAGGCAAAGCCAGCCCGGCAGGGCTCGCATGCTCGCGTGTTCTTTACAGCAGACGCACACGTGGCTGCCCCCGCCCCCCGCCGCAGTAACGAGCTCTTTATTAGATTGTTTAAAAGACAACAGTGTTTGTCATTAGCTTCTCCATGAATCATTAGAATAATGTTTGTGGTTACTGAGCTAAAATTCAACCTTAAAGCCTGTTGTGATGTATTTTTGCAATAAACATATCAAGTTCATTTAACCAATTACTTTTTAAAACACTGTCTCTCTCCCGCTGGGCTTCATTGATCAGATTATGAAAAGGCGATCGATGCCCCATTGTTCCAGTAAATTCCACACGAGGCAGAAAACGGGCATCACATTGACCCAGTGGTCAGCCCCGCACTCACCGTCCGGGCTGACCCGGATAGATAGTGCTAGAGGCGGCGCGGGCGCCCCGGCAGCGAGGACGGCAGAGGCTGCGGTTCAGGGACCAAACCTTGGACGTGGGATTCAGGCCACGGTGCCGGGGGGGTCCGGAGCTGCCAGGGGCCCCAGCGCCGCGGCCGCAGCCCCCAGTCCTCGCAGCGGGGCTGGGTCTCTCCCGTGGAGCCTGGGTGGGCGGCCTCCCTCCCCACCATCTTCGCGGCGGTGAGACGGTGAAGGATGCCGGTGCCTGGATCCTGGCCCTCCACCTGGCCCTGGACCTTCCAGGCGGCTACCTCCTCTGCCCGCCCCAGGTCTGCACCCAGCGCGTGAGCCCGAGCCAGAGCCGGGCCGCTCCAGGCAGCTGCGGAGGGCAGACTCAGGGGTAGACCAGGCCTGTGCGCTCTGAGGCCAGCGGGGGCCGGGCGGGGAGGCAACACCAGCCCAGAGACCCGTGCTGGACATGGCGCGGTGACCACTGAGGCGTGGGTCCAGGTCTATGACCTTCGGGCCTCGCCGTCCATCAGCACAGCCGCCCCCTCAGCCTCCATAGACAGGTGTGTGGGGTTCAGCCAGACCCTGAGGGAGTCAGTGCGGCTTGCAGGGGCCCTCGTAGCCACCGTGGACATGCAGGCGCTGTCCCTGGACCTGCTGCTGGGAGCTTGCATGCAGGGAGCACGGCAGGGAGCACTGCTTCGAGCCGCTCTGTAGGGTCTCTATACCAGGGTCTCCAGCCACAGGCTCGCGTGCGGACCTGCATCAGCAGCGACTGCGCCCGCCACCCTGGCTGCTGGAGGCAGCACCCCAGAGTCGGGGCCACCCTGCCGCCCGAGAAGGGCTGGCCTGATGGAACAGGTGGGCTTGTCCGAGCAGCCGTGGCCTCAGCGTGGCTGCCCTGACCCAGGAAGGGGCCTCCCTGCCCCACGGTGCCGGCCCCTGGGAGAAGGCAGGGTCACTGCCACTCGTCTAGCCGAGCTAACCGCCGCCCAAGGGCCTCACGCGGAGGGTGCTAGGACGTGGCCAGCCCCTGGCAGCCACCCACTGTCCAGAGTGTGATCCGGATCCTGGGCTGTGTCCAGGCCGACCTGGCCTCTGGAGGGAGGCGGCCACGGACCAGGAGACCAAGGTTTGGAGCCCCAAGCCTGCTGTGAGCCCCAAGCTTGGCGCTTTCTCCGCGGGTGAAATTATGAAAATGAATTCTGTGGGCATCTAATCTGGGGTTATGAGTACGGAGTCAACAGAAATTAGGTTTGTGTGCTTAGCGCGATGGAGTCAGCTTTCCCAGCAGGCACGTGCTTCTGGCTCCCGTTGGTCTCTCAGCCCCAGACCCCGGCCGTCCTGCCCACCCGCCTGCTGCGCCGTGTCCCGGGGTGCTGCCCCCGAGCCTCTGGCACCCTGAGCCTCTGGCCCCGGCTCCCCGTCGGGCAGCCTCTCCCGGCTCCGGAGCAGCGCGGATTCTGTGCTCTGCAGTGGAAGCCCCGATCCCAGAGAACGCGGCACAGCGTGGTCAGCACACAGGCCGGGCGCCGGAGCCTGCGGCAGCGGGTCCTACCTGCTCTGGTCTCGCCGGTGGAATTTGAGAAATCGGGAGTCTCTAGGGTGTGTTTACAGGGTCTCCAGGCCTGGTGCTGCTCCAGGCGGCTCAAATACATGTGCACAGTCATACGCGTGAGCATGCACCACTCAACACACTCACATTCTCACACACACATGCACACGCACACCCACAGTCACGCGCGCACACACACCCCCCGCCAGGTCCCTGTTTCCGTCCCTCGGTCCTGGCGGGCACCTGGCAAACAGAGCGGGGGCGGGGCGGGGGGAGGCGGGTGGGGGGGAGGCTGTTTTCCAGAGTTGGAGAACGAGCCTGGAAGACAATCGAGACAGAGCCAGGCCCTGACCCTTGGGCTGGCCAGTGCCCGCTCTGCACCACACTGTCCACCTGTTGGGACACCCACGAGGGGTCGTGTCAGGCTGATGGTCTCCCAGGGCGGCCTGGCCTCGGCGCCCCATGGTCTCACGCCGACTGTGGCTGCGCCTGAGGAGGGGCGCGGGCTGTGGCCCTGAGGTGGTCCGGGAGCCCCGGGCCGCCGGGGAAGGACCGCGGGAGAGAGCTAGGGCCTGCGGCGAGCTCTCTCGATTCGTGTTTTGAAAATAGCAGCAACAGAGTCACGCGCTGCAGGGAGCCACACCAGCAGGATGGGGGCTATTAACTCTGCCCTAAGTGTTTAAAATGGAGATATTCTGTGCTGCTGGAAATTGAGAAAAAGTTTGACACTATCTCCATAGTATGCGGGTTTCTGTAAAAATGTCGACAACAAAAACTGTATAATTTGTCCCAGTTTAAACCTATAATGTGAGCAATGTCTTTGCTGGATTCGGCGATGACGGTGAAGACCGGGGCAGTGTTTCCGCGGCGTCCGGCTGCTCGGGGGAGCGCCTGCAGGGACCGGCCGCTCGTGTGTCGCGGGGTCACAGCCCCCGGCCCCCTGTCATCTAGGCCATCAGCAAGACAGTCAAGAGCCGACCAGTAACTCCCTGTTCCTGGTGTGCGGCCTCCACCGTGAGAGGACACCCACCTCGCTGGACCCTCGGGAGAGGCACTCGGCGGCAGCCGCGCCTCCCGCGCCGCGAAGCCACAGGGCTGGCCGGAGCACGGGTGACAGGGAGGAGCAGTGAGTGGGTTTTCAATACCTGTGACCTTCGTTTTTAAAATGGGTTACTTCATAGTAAGTTTTTTTTTTTTTTAAAGATCTATTCATTTATTTACACAAGCACTGGGTACAGTCAGAAGCGCGGGAGGGTGAGAGAATTCACCAGGCCAGAGCGGGGAGCAGAGCAGGCAGAAGGACCGAAGGACACTGCTGAGGGGAGCAGCGGGCGGCAGGAGAGGTCTGCGCGCCATGCGGGACCCTCACCCTGCGCCTGGGGATCGAACCGGCGCTGCAGAGGCTGCGAGAGCTTCGCAACCCAGCGCTCAACCGCTGCGCCCCCGGGGAGGCCCTCATAGTAAGTTTTAAGATTTAGATTTTACTAATTCATGGTTGTGCTCAGCAAGTGGGTTTCGAGATTCCCGAGCAGTGGACCCGCAGGCTGGTCCCAGACGGGCTGACGGGGCCTGTTCCTTGGGGCGTGCCCTTCTCATGGAGGAGGTCAGAGGTCAGGTCAGGACCCTGTTTCCAAGAGAGGCCTTCGCCCAGAACGGGCCGAAGCCAGTGACCGGCCCGGCCTGTGGTCCTCGGGGCGGCTGTGTGGTCCAGCCAGAGCGAGGGGCTCAGGTCCGCAGGAAGGGGCGTTTCCGGCGCCATGCGCTGAAGGTTAAATGGCCGTTCACCGGGGATGAAGTTCTAGGGCGACTGGATCCACCCCGAGTCTTGGAGCGATCATTCCATTATCTGCTGCCATCTACTGTTGGGGGAAATTTAATTCTCACTCGATAATCCTGTGGGGACTTTTTCTTTCTTGTGATTTAAAGTTTTTTTTTTCTATATTCCTGACTTATATCTTCACTGCGCTCATCTTAAACGCGGGTTCACTTTTCCACGCTCAGTGTTCAAAGGACACGTGATTTCCATGGACTCTGGAAGCTTCTCAGCGCCGGCGGCGTCATCCTCGTCCTCCTTCCTTCTGGAATTTCTTTAAGATTTGCGCCTGCGCTGTCTGTTGTCTCGCCCTGAGCTTCGTCTGCACGCGCCTCGTGGCCTCCGCGGCCGGAGTGGGTGGGTCTCGGGGACTCCAGGGAACCGACTGCATCAAGACCGTGTTTATCTCCGCGGCTCATCCTTGGTTCGGGCTCTACCCAGTTGACACTGTTTCATTTCTCTCTTGTTTAACTTTTAATGACATTATATATCTTCGCTTTCTTTCTGAGAACCTGAGGAGGATCACTTTAAAGTTCTTGAAATCTCTCTCACAGAGGGAGTCTCCCCCCGAGCCAGCCGTTGCCGCTGATGACGGGC